GTTTTTCCTTTTTAATAAATTTACAGACATTTCTAAAATTCTGTTTTCACTTTGTCATTACTGGGTACTGAGTGTAGATTAATGAGAAAATGAATTTGAATGAATGTAGTATCAGGCTGCAGCATAACAAAATTGAAAAAAGTGAAGGGGGTCTGAATACTTTCTGAATTCACTGTAGAGTATTCTACTTTTGGTAACTGCTGTCAAAAGAGTTTATCTTGTAGACTCGGGTTACATCTTGAATTATATAGTGCTGTTTGTTTGACTGGCTCAAATACATAGTATGGTTTGTTTGGCTCAAAGTTCAGTGCAAATCTTACTCATATAATTTCTTTAGTTATGTTTAAACCATAGTTAAACATTAAACACTAGTGAAAAGTTACACAAGAAAATGTTTCTTCACATTACAGATAAGTGGTCAAATATATTTTAATATTTTATTACAAATAATATCTTAAAGTATGATAACATGTTCTATTTTGACAGTGGAGTAGTTCCTTTACCACTCCGGCCAGAGATCACCCATTTTTATGGTAAAGTTTTCGCTAGTAAAATAAGTGTTCATTTTATTCTTTAACAAAGACTCAGTGTTAACAATGATTTTACCAATTTGTAGAGCTTGTTTTGCAGTCCTTAGGTGGAATTGACAGGATATTGATTTATTGTGCTGTAGTAAGAAACAATTGTACTTTATTCATTTTTCTTTGACTTCGTAACAGCTGAGTTAACTGCTAACCTCCCATCTGGATATAATCTGTACCCAAGAGGATACCAGACACACCCCTGTGCATGTATAATGTTTCATGTAAAAAAGCCACATCCTTGCCCAATTTCTGTGGGTCTTCTATGTCATTAAAAGGATTGCCAGCATTAAAAGCATTGTCTGTAATACATACTTTAGATTGTGGTGTTCCATCAACGAAAGATGTATATCTCTGCTTCATATTAGTTACAATATGTATGAATTGAATCAACTAAACATCAAATGTTTTAGTAAAAAATAGTCCAGTATCCAGAAGCTGTTTAGAGTTACATGTGAGATTTCACTAGCCCAGTGGAATGTTTGCCACTCTCATGATGTCTCCCATCATACATACACACACACGCACACACGCACACATATACACATACATATAATTTGATATGTTTTATGCGTGTGTGTGTATATAAATAAAAAACACATATTGCTGTTGAAACTTTCTTGAGAGCAGTTCATCTTGAGGCACGTAGTAAACATAACAATTTGAAAAACAAGTTTAAACTCCTCAGGGCTTCCTGAAACTAGTTGTATAGTTCTTTGGGTCTCTCCTGTATAAGATTTATATATTCACTATGAAACTAAATAAAAAGATCTCATCCTAGGAAAAGGTGGCCTGGTGCCCTCCAGGTGTTCTAAATTCAAACTCCCCAATATTTTGACAGTGACTGGAAGAGATTGAGTTGAGTTTAAAGCATCAGAAGGCTACGGTGTTATCGCTCACCCGTTAAACTACTGAAGCTTAAAAAACAGTTGTGCATATCTAAACCATATAAACCAGCGGGGGCCCTATACAAATTTGTGACTCAGGATTGGCTTGCCTTCAAATTAGTGTCTTCCATTTTTCCAGATAGTATAACAGTGTGCAACAGATTTCTCTGCTCTATCCAAGTGACAATGCTAGATCTCAAAGCTTACGGTATTATTGTGCTTTTACCTGTCATTTCAGCCTTTGGACTGCATCTTGTGTTAGTTTCACATTCAGAGTGGCAAATTAACATCAAACAAGGTAATTCTATATTCACCACTCTGCTGGTTTGGGTGCTAACACACTTGCTGTAATCTGAAGAGGGTTTTTTTTTTGCACCCGATTTTTTTTTTTTTTTTTTTAGCACTAATGAGAGCAATCTAGGGGCAGTTGTCTGAGAATTGTAATATTTGTGTCTTCTAGGAGCATAAGAAAATGGTGGCACACCCTTCCTCCAAACAAGAAGGAGTTATTTAAAGAATCTGTGAGAAGAAATAAATGGAAGATAGTCTTTGGACTTTCTAGCTTAGGAGTTGTATTTATCATTTTTTACTTTACTCATTTGGAGGAGACACCAATAACTGGACGCACTCGGCTTTTAGTGTTTGACAAGGATCAATTTGCAAAAGTGATGGAAATTGAGTATAACATGGTAGGTAATTATTAAGGTAAACAAAACCTTTGTTTCTTGTTCTTTCAGAATGAGCTTCCTTTTTTCTTAAAGTGGCGTAATATATGAAGTACAGGTTGAATCCATCCATTTATTATGGTATCATGTAATTCTGGTAGATTTTGACTTAGTGCTTTGGCTTTAGCTGTTACGATTTATAAAGCACGGTTTATCTTAGAATGATATGTAAACTTATAAAACCAACCATGTGATGTAAAACCAGTCATAGATGAGTGGTGTAATGCCATTTGTTCATGAGATTCTACCCCAGGAGAGCCATATGCAACACTTCGACATATGCTTGATTTTCCCATTTGCTTCTGCAATTTTGTGTCCCCTTTCTCCTTAATTGCCTATTTTGGACTTTAAACCCTTCAGCAACAACAACAACAACAACAACTTCTTCTCCCTCTCCTTCTTCCCCTCCTCCTCTGATGTCACTGAACACATCCCCTACTACACTCAAAAGCTTAAACAAATTGACAAGAAATAAAATGCAGCTCCTGGCGAAAAAAAGTTGCTGTAACTCCTACCTTAGAAATAGTCTTAGTAAACTTGATATCAGGATTTGCCTACTTCCCACTGCTGAACAAGCCAGAACATGCTTCCTTGTCATTTACTGGAGTTCAGACACGATTGGTCAGGTCCTCTCCTATGTTCAGTTTGTCAGTTTAGTCATAGCAATACAGGTGCAGCAGCTTCTTCTGCAGGGATTTTGTTGTAACCACGTTGTTGTTTAGAATTCAGAGGTAGTACACCTAGAAAAAGTTAAGTCTATTTTGCTTGGTTAGGATTTTGTGTATCAAAAGTTGATATACTTCTTATGCTCTTCAACCATTGTTTGACTTCTGGCTTGGGACAGTGCCACAGTAGTCTATTTTAGAACTTATTTTATGGGTGAATAGATGTGTCTGCAGGATCCACTGCTTTAATCAGTGAGATGAGTGGTGTATAAATTTGATTATTTGTTTATTTATTTTATTAATCAAAACAGTGAAAGCAGTGTTGCACCACTGTGATACAGGTTTCACTTCTTTGTAATATGTGTGTGAGGTTTGATATGCATCACATCAGCACAATGCTGATTTTGTCATTTTACACCCCATCGCGCCACTACCTGCTGGCGTTGCTGTTGGTGAGGCAAAAGTGAGATTCTGCAAATAAGAGGCAGTAAGGTAAGTAAACTGATAGTGTGGGTATGAGCTGATCCTCTTGCAGGATTGGCCAGTGTGTAAATTTCCAGACATTGTTATATTATAACACCCATTCTCTCTCATTAGCGCTGACTAGGAATAATGAAAATTCATTAACATCCGAAGAGACACATGCCCCTTTTCTAGTGAAAATATATCTATTTGCAGACATTCAATTGGATGTCAAAATCAGGGTTAGTAGAAATTAAAAGTATTATTTTGGTGTAAATATTTTGCTAAAATGTTCAATATCTGCAAAAAATATTTTTAGGCCTCCATGAATTAGCTCTGATTTAATTTTAATGGTGATTCCAAGAGGGTATGATATGATTGGTTCAACCTACTTGATTTGAACTGCCTTGAGATTCTGCTTGAAAACGGTTCATTCATAAAGGACTGCTTTTTTATAGAATGCTATGAAAATAGCAGGGATTGTCGACCCTTTTGAACAGACTTTGTTTTGTAGCACTGACATTTTAATATGCTCCCTGTTCCTCTTTTAAGGCAGAGATAGCAGGGATGGGGGAAGGATAGCATAGCAGCCTCCACATTCTCTAGCAAAGGGCCTAATTTATGCTAAACCAATGCAGAAATTATCCTACCTAGAAACTGTTTAAAAAAAATAAGCTCTTAATTTTCCACTTGCTTTTCTGGGATGCCAAGCTTAATGTAAGATTCACCACTGACTTGGTCTTGTGGGTGGATGTTTTGCTGTCTCTGTTCATTGGGTTTTCTAAAATGCCAGGGGAGTTGGTGTGGCTGTTTGGCAAGTTTAACCACTCCTGGGGAAGATTTCCTCATCTCTGGCTTCAGTAGAATGTCAGACTGGGCAGGACATATTGACAGAGTTTGGTCTGCTTTGGGCAAGACTTAGAAGAATAACCACTGACTCGAGCCGAGGAACTGCCGTTTTGCTGCCTCTGATCACTGAGCTTTGTAAGGTGCCAGGAGCATTGGCAAGGTTGGCTCCTACATTTCTAGCAGGACTTGGTTGTATCAGAAATTGTGGCTTGCTAGGTATGTTAAGTAGTTAGCTCTCCAAAACTGTGCTTCTGGATCTCAGTACAACAGTGAGATACAATGCCACAGAGATAGGCAGGGCAAAGAAAAAGTAACATCTGTAATTTTGTCTCCATCTGTTCATTTACCTTGGCTTACATTCAGTTACTGCCCAGAGACTTAAACTTGCCTGATCACAAAGAATTTAAAAGTAAGGTCTGACCCATGAGTGTATTGGATAAGTCAAAATGCTGAAAGCTGAATTGAGCTTCCTGTTGTGGAGGCACAGCTTCTTGCTGTTTGGGGAGAAACTGTGATGTGATACCCTTGAGGCAAGGCACCATTTTGATATGTTGCAGAAGTCAAAGGATATAGGAGGTAGTCAGAAGAAAATCATTATTTGCAGCAAGAATTCTCCCTTCTTTGGTTATCTGTCTTGGCATCCTGACTGCAGGATTTGAGTGGTGCTTATCTGCATATATGATGACTTCCTTCTGTGTGGTGGATCCTTCAATTGGTAATAGATGTGGTAGGAAGAGAAAATGAAGAGAATGGAAGGAGCAAAGAATGTTTAAAGCGTCAAAGGAGAAGATACCTTCTGAAGGCACTCACGTACAACTGTGGTTTCTCAATTTTAACATTTCCTAACGGGGTGACAGGTTTTATAATGAGAACCATTGTTCCACCTTCATTATTGAGCCAATTCAGTGGATCAGTTAGCTTAGCAGCCTCTTTGGTATAACAGTTCAGGGTGTTAAGCAGGCAGTTTGTCCAGCTGTGCTGCCAGTGATTAATTTGAAATACAGTGGATTGGGTGTGTAGGTGAATGGTAGCTACCGTTTTATGGACACTCTAAAAGGTGAGGATGTACATCTTTTTGATTTTAAGGACTGTTCTTAGGTTACGTTTGGTGGTGTCTGTGGGTGGGAGGGGCAAGGGATATACAAGTGATGTAAGCAGCATTGCAGCCTCATGAAACAAACTCTTCCCCTTTTCTATGCTTGTCATGATGAAACCTGTAACAGCATGTGAACACTACTCCTTAAGCTTTACTTTTTTTACTAAGATAAAAAATACTTCCCCATAAAAGCCCTCTATTCAAGTTCTCAAACTTTGTCTCAAGAAGATTGTAGTATGAGTTATAGTGTTTTTCTTCTGAATAGTGTTGTCTTGTGTTTGTCATACTTAAGCCTCCTCCATGGATATTCATATATAGTACAGGCCTCTGTTGCAATTTGAATCATTTGGGACAATTAATGTGTTGTGTCCTTTTTTTCCTCCCCCTCCCCCCACCTTTTTTTTTTTAAATATTCCAGTGGATGCTAGAATTTAAGAATAAAATGTTGCCAGAAACAGATCCCCATTACCAGGTGGTCAAGAAAGTTGTTACTCATTTAATTGAAAGCAACAAGGATGTACCAGAATTCTCTGAATTTACGTGGACTGTCCATGTGGTAGAAGAGCCTAATATTAATGCTTTTGTACTTCCAGTAAGTAATAACTGAAAAGAAAAGGCGACACATAATTAAGGGGGGGGGGACTTAATTGCTTGCATGAATGTTTATTTTATCCTTTTGCCTACAGAATGGACAAATTTTCGTTTTCACTGGTTTGCTAAGTGCGGTGTCAGATATCAATCAGCTTTCATTCATTTTGGGACATGAAATTGCTCATGCTATTCTGGGACACAATGTAAGTTTTTTTTTTAAGGAAATGTTAACATAAAAATCAGTTCCATAAGGATAAATGTAGCTGTCATAGCGGAGACCACCACTGCTGCAATGAAGTGGGATAGACTTACGCTAAGGACCTTGGATATTATTAATCATCTAGTGATTAATCACTTACAGTGGGGCAAAAAAGTATTTA